GCTAAGGAACCATGAAGGTAAATATGTAAATAGGTGTTTGCATATGTTAGCTTCATGAGGTAACTACTCTATGCATACATGAGTTGTACATGTGTAAGAGTATTTACATAGGCTTTAAGTTTAATTAGTTCTCTCACTTGAAGTTTGTTTATGACAAACAAACTTCAATCTAATGTTCTCTTAAGTGTTTATGTGATGACAGGAACTAACTTAGTAAAGTCAATGGGTTGGAACATAGAAGACTTCAAGAGGAACAAGAGAGAACGAATGAACGTAAAGCAGGTTCTCTCACGAGAACCAACCCACGAAAGAACCTGAAGGTATTCTCCAACGAGATCCAGAAGGAACATGCTTTCCCACGAGAGCTGGAGCATGTTCTCTAACAGGTACATGAGGTGTTCCCTAACAAGTACACGCAAGGAGTTTCCTAACAGAAGCATGACAGCAAGCTAAAGAGTGAAGCTTGGACTGCGAAGATGAAAGCAAGTTCTAGAAAGGAACTTGGTCTGCGAGTTCCAATAAGGAACGAACAAGAGTGACAGAAAGTTCTAGTTAGGAACTTGGCCTGCGGTTCCAAGAGTGGAATATTGCCTCGAGATCCAGAATACATCAAGACTACAAGAGTTTCAGAGAACCAACATGAAAAGGAGAAATTGAATGAAGTATATCGCTCTATGATTCATGTAACTATGTTGGACATAAAAGTCAGTCTAGAACAAGTCTATAAAACCAAGGTTGAACTCTAGAAAGTCAATGAAATTAGAGTTATTGACTTGTCAAGAACCCAGAGACTGTCAGAGTTTCGGAACCTAATAGGAACTTAAGTCTGCACGTCTTTAAAAGTCGATTTTAATGATATATATATATATATACCTAATACGTGCATATCTTTTAGGGATTTGGTTTTACTGAATAAAGATATTTATTTTCAAATAAATCCCTTTTGGAAAAAGATAAGTTTATTTGGAAAGTATTTTAACCAAAATATAAGTTTTAAATAAATCCGATTTTATGGTAAGTATATCTTATTATTATTGACAGAATTTATTCTTAACAAAAAGATATATTTTTGAAAACTTATTTTTGGAAAATATTTTTTAAACATATCTTTTGATTAAACTTATTTTTTACAAAAAGAATTATTTGGGTGTACTATAAATATGCTCATATGTATTCAAAGTTGAGGCTGACGAAGTGCAGTGGTCGTGCTTAATGGTTTCATCCTTCACCACGAAGCTAAGTTAGTCCTCCTGGTCAAAATTCCGGTCAGGGTTTGGTTTCAGTTCGTCCAGTCAGTTCCAGACAAATCTTGAGTGTCCAGCATATTAGTTTTATCTCTTTATTCATATATATGTATTTAGAGTTATTCTTTGAGATCTTGTAATGGGAAAAAGGGTTTTATGTGTTTTATATATTAGGGTGTGTGAGTTCGTGAGGATTCTCGTTATTGTAATTGAGATATTGCTAAGTGTGAGGTTCTTGGGGTATGGTTTAAACCAGAAGGATGGGCTGTCAACCACAGCATCCAACCCCTGGGCTCGTAGTAGACGTCTGTGATTATACTCGGTGTTTACGAAGGTGATGTGGAAGCCTTTAGAGTGGAGGATTTTGGCTAGTTGTAGCATGGGGTTTATGTGGCCTTGCATTGGGAAAGGGATGCATACAGCATGTAGTTTTTGCCCTTTAGCTGCTGATATTGAACCCATTTTTATTATATTATGTGTTTTCCTTAATTGGGTTTAAGCTTAAAAATAATGGGGTGGAGCTAACATACGTTGGATCCTTGCCTTTTATAGGATTTGAGCTTGTTGGGGTGGGTGGGTGGGTGGGTGGGGGAAGGGGGGTCATGCAATGAACACATGAGGAATAAAGTTTATAAGGGGTCCAATTGTGTATGCACAAGATGCTAAATGAGTGATTTGTAATTTGTATCATGTTCATCAGAGATAATGTCAAAGTGTAAATAAATATTTAGACGTACTCGACTAGCTACTTGACTAGAGTGTGTGAATTTTATGATATGTACCCAGTGGAAAATTAAATAACATAAAGAATTCGCTCTTACATTATAATTTAAATAACTTGCTTTTTGGGGCATAAATTACTCTTTCTATCGTCAATTGGTTTTAGGATAGGATCTCAATGTGAATTTTGTTAGTAGGTTTAGATATCAATCTAGCCAAAACCATTTGTACTATACAAGGTAAAACGAACTTTATTTGGTATTAGTAACGTATATTTTAGGATGACCTAATAAGAAAAATGGTGTGTTCATCATAATGGAGGAAGTATTGATAATATTTCTTATCATCAACGAGAGAGAAATAACAACATATAATGTATCCATGTAAATTACAACTTTGAGTGATGCAAAAGCTTAATAATTGGTAGAATTAAAACTAATAGTCTCAAAAACAGTACGGGATTTACAACATAATTATACATTCATTAGAGCCATTTGAATCACACAAATTACTTCTAGCAAGCCACTTAATTAACTAGATCTTAGATTTTCAATCAAATTATTACTTAAGGGACTCAAGCACTTCGATGACTTTGTCCAAATTGTTGTAGGAAGATCCATTTGGAACAGCAGTTGCCTCATAAGCCAACCTCCATTCCATTGTCTTTCTCTTCATCTCCTTCCCTTTCTCTCCTTCCATTAACTCTCTCACTTGCCTCTCAACTTCACTCCTCTTCACATTTGCATCGATCTCCATCCCAATCTCCCACTTGTGACAAGAAAACCAACAATTAGTTCGTTGCTCCGCGAAGAAAGGCCAACATATGATAGGCACCCCACCAATCAAAGTCTCAATTGTCGAGTTCCAAACACAATGAGTCAAAAACCCTCCAACCGCGGGGTGAGCCAACACTTGCCTTGGTTACACCAACTAGCAATAAGTCCTCTTCCTTTCATCTTCTCTAGAAACTCCGGTGGGAAATTGGCTGAATCACCGGTGACTAAATCAGGTCGAGTGATCCAAAGAAAGGGATGGTGGCTATTAGCAAGTCCCCATGCAAAATTCTATCAATTGATCATTAGTCATAATAGTAATATAATGCTTCCAAAATTGACATAAATTACAGAGTTCGGCACTTAGGCTCATAAGAATCAAGCCATTCGAGGCAACCTGTGTCCTCTTTCCACAAACTTGTACTAATTGTTTTAGTGTCTTTGTCATTGCCAACATCTATGGAATCGAGTAGGAGTGGCAATGGACCGACAGTGTAAAGGGGAGGGAAATCGAAGGCAAGAGCTTAGAGGACATCTTATTCCAAAGCATCGAAAGAGTTAAAGAGGATTGCCAAGGCTTTCTTCATGTTGAGGGTTAGTCTTAGGGCAAAGTTGAGCAGAATGTCGTTAGGATCAGTGGTTCTTATGGTTCTTGGGAGGTCCTTCAGTTTGCAACAACACTTCATTGCAGGGATCCAATCTACGACCGTGTTAAGATCACCCTTTACTATCAACAATTAATATAGAAAGTTGTAAGACAAAGTTGTACAAGTCCACCATGTGAAGGTAAAAAAAAAACGTGAACTAGCTAGACATGAAAATTCAAGAAAAAGTTGGTACTCAGAGCTGCTTGTAGTTATCATTGTAGCTCTAATAGTTGTTCGCAAAATTGTGTTACAATCTTTGTTGACATTATTAAAATGCTTATAGTAGATAGTATATTTGATAATTACTTGTACCTCAATTCAAATAGAATAAAGTATTTACTCTTTCTCTCATAGATTACTTATTTTATTTTGACTGGACACATTTATTAATGCACAATTTACCTATCAATGTCCTTATTAAGTAACTACGAGTGCTTCTCACTCAAAAAAAAAAAAAAAAAAAAAAAAGTAATTACGATTGCTCCATATTAGTTTAAGTTTTAAAAATTAAAAAAAAAAAATTGTAAATAATAATCCCAACTTTGCTGTATTTTCTTTTAATAATCCTGATTTTAGATTATTATGGAATAATCCAAAATTTGGGGCTGTTTACATTGAATACTGCTTTACTTCGAGTAAATATTATGATTTATAGTGTTGCAAGTAAGAAGAAATTAAGTTCTTATGTGCATGGTTATAATATCAACAACAAATAATAATACGAATAAAATTAGTTTGGTGGTGATAAGCCCTTTTTCTGGTTGTTTTTTTTTTTTTTTTTTTTGGGCCTCCTTTTCCCTCCAATGCCCCTTTTCGCCCAAACCACTAGTGGGAGCCCTTCAAAGTTCAAACAACATTTATATAACTCGTATATTTAAACAGGCTAAAACTTTCTTACCCTGTCAATTCAATGCGGGAGTCCCAAAATAAAAGAGTAATTTAGTATAAAGACAAACATTTTAAAAAAAATCGGATGTACAGTAAAATGTTGTACATCCAATATAAATTTACCTTAAAATGATCAAAACTTATCCTGTAATGAATGAAATTACCCATTATATATAAATTACCCTGATATAAATATAAGTCATTTATGTTTTATTGATAAAAGTTACCCAAAAAAGTCTAAAAGTTACCCTAAATTTAATAAAAGTTATCTCGATATACAGTAATATTACTATACATCGGATGTATACAAAAAATTTTATAGTACCTAGTATAAAACACTATTTTGCTCCCACTTCCTTTGCATTATTTTCAACAAACCGGGCTTAGAATGGTTGAGCATGTTGATGGGTGAAGCCAGAGATGTGGCTAGGGGGTCATTTCTTTCTTAATTCGGAGTTTTTCTCTCTAAGATGGAGCCAAGCATATAACTTGATTTCTAAAGTTAAATTAAATTGGCTACATACAAGTATTGCAATTATATTTTCAATACTTCCCCCGTTCTTTTAATGTTGCATCACTTGTTTTTTAAAGAAATTTCACAAATATTACACCATTTTTAATTTAGGACAAAAAATATCTCTATTCACGCTGCCAATACTCAGTATACCCTTACTTTTTCACACTTATTTTTTAATTTATGTTTACATCACATGAGCAATTTTGTTTTTTTTATCTTCCTCTCTCTTACTTTTTCCCACTACCAAAATTATCGTGCTCAACCTATATGGTGCAATAATTAAAAAAAAAAACAAAAGAAGTATTTTAGATGACATAAAGTGGTGCAAATTAAATATCTTAAGATAGATCAAGTATTGATAACATTTCTTAATAGGGACAAGGAAAATAACAATATTTTACAAATCCATGTAAATAACTCCTTGGGCAACGCACAAAGTCAAACAATTGGAAGAAAGATAATTAAAAAAAAAAAAATACTTGCATTCTTAAGAGCCATTTGAATCACACAAATCACTTCCAACAAGCCACTTAACTAGATCTTAGATTAAATTTTCATTTAAGGGACCCTAGCATTTTGATGACCTTGTCCAAATTGTTGTAAGAAGACCCATTTGGAGTAGCAACAGCCTCATTAGCCAACCTTTTCCATTCAATAGCATTTCTCTTCATGTCCTTCCCTTTCTCTCCTGCCAATAACTCTCTCACTTGCCTCTCAACTTCACCCCTCTTCACATTCGTATCGATCTCCATCCCAATCCCCCACTTGTGGCAAGAAAACCAACAATTAGTTTGTTGCTCCGCGAAGAAAGGCCAACAAATAATAGGCACCCCACTAATCAAAGTTTCAATTGTCGAGTTCCAACCACAATGAGTCAAAAACCCTCCAACCGCAGGATGAGCCAACACTTGCTTTTGGTTACACCAACTAGCAATAAGTCCTCTTCCTTTCGTCTCCTCTAGAAACTCCAATGGGAGATTAGCCGAATCACCAGTGACTAAATCAGGTCGCGCAATCCAAAGAAAGGGTTGGTTGCTATTAGCAAGTCCCCATGCAAACTCCATCAATTGATCATTAGTAATAACAGTAATGCTTCCAAAATTGACATAAACAACAGAGTTAGGCTCATACGAATCAAGCCATTCGAGGCAACGTGCGTCCTCTTTCCATAAACTTGTGCTAATCGTTTTAACTTCCTCGTCGTTTCCACCTTTAATTGAATCATGTAGGAGCTGCAACGGGCCGAGAGTGTAAAGGGTTGGGAAATCAGAGGAAAGAGCTTCGAGGACATCGTGCTCCAAGGCATCGAAAGAGTTTAAGAGGATCGCCGAGGCTTGTTTCAACTTGAGTACCATTCGTTGGACATAATTGAGCAGAAAATCATCAGGATTAGTGGTTCTTATAAAACTTGGGATGTCCTTCAATTGGCAACTGCCCTTCATTGCAGGGACCCAATCTACGACCGTGTTAAGGTCACCATTTGTAGTGAAATTTGCATCTGCATATATTATTATTCACAGTAACACACTATCAACAATTTAAAAAGTTTATGAGAAAATTATTATAATGTGCCTAAAAACTCCACCATGTCAAAAGTAAAAATTGTGACGTAGACATTAAAAAGTTACAAGTCGTATCATCATAAGTCTTTTTTTTTTTTTTTTTGACAAGTATCATCATAAGTCTGGTTATTCATAAAAGCATGTTATTGTTTTGACATTGCTTGATGTTTTTTTTTTTTTTTTTTCTCTTTTGCAATGTTTAGGAAGAGTCGGTGTATGAACCTGTTAGAGTTGTCTTTATATACACTAGTCTAATAATTTTTTTTAGGCGGACTATGGACATGTATTTTAAACATTTTTAGTTAATATTTTTTACCCGGCCCGAAAAGCCTGTTTAGCCCGGTCTAAATTTATAAATTTTATATAAACTTTTTCAACCCGAACCTTAGGCCAGTCGTACCCAAATTAGCTTACTGAGCCGATTTTTTATCCTCCGGCCCGCCCTTTAATCACTTCTAAAATACCTTATTTAAAAGTTTGCCTAAAGTTAAGGCATAATTTAATAGAGGACCCCACATCATATATTAGAAGAAAGTGGGCGCGAGTGAGAGCAAATAATTATTGGTTGAACAGCTTGGACTAATTTCACATGAATTAAATGATACGTTGAGCATAAGAAATAAGACAATTATATAGAACTTGACCAAACATGTAAAATAAATATTTAAGAACGGATGGCGTACAAGTTTTTTTGCTTAGACAAATAACATAAATGACCCACTTATATTCGAACTCTCGTGAGGTCGTTCAATCAAGTCTTGATAGGTCAAACTCATTAAAAAATAGGGATAGCATATAAATCCAGAAATGACTAAGGGAATTCCTATCTCTATTACTAAAAAATCTGTAATGAAATAATAATTTTGTGGAACATCCTTTATCAAAACGAAGATCAGCCTGGACCAGATACAATTTGGTCCACGGAAGTTAAAGATAAAACCATCGAGAAAGGCCGTTTTAGAGCATTATTGTAGCCACAGAAATTCTTGCGTGGACCTGGTCCACAATTATTATTGTGGACCTGAGATTTATATAAACGCAGAACTAACGTTATTTGGAACATAGTGACCGTAATTTTAACATAGTATCCTTATTTTTTAATATAGTAACCTTTATTAAAACTTGTGTGACCTTGAATGTTATTTTCGTTTACATTTCAAAAAATTAACCTCTTATAGCTTTTATATCAACATATAACCTTTATTTTAATGTAGTGACTTTTTTTTTATTATTAATAAAACAATCATAATATCTCTAATGTTAGTGGTTCACAATAAATTTGTGTGAACCAGGTCCATTTAAGAATTATTATAGTAGCCAATAATGTATGTATTTGTCGTAACATATTTTTGGCAGCATTCCAAAAACAGAATAAACACTAGTTTTACATTAACAGCAAGAAACTTATCATCTCATCCTATCACAAATTCGTTCTCTTAGGTCGTTTGTGTAACATGTTTCTAGCTATTAAAAAAAATATATTCTTCAGCGTTTTAGTTAAGGAAAATTCCTATAAAGAGTAGTAAATATGAAAATGATGAGATAATTTTTTTAAAAAATTTATCAATTTAAATTAATTAAGTATTGAAAGAATTTCTTTTTTGGTTAGAAATCTTAGGATAAGTTAATTATTCGTTGTAACGTGGAATCGTATAAGTCTTATTGTGTATACATGGGCATACAATAGAAAACTCCTTATCTTTGTTTATTTTTTAATTTGTCTCGAATTAATTACAAGTATTATTTTGAGTAATTTTTCTCTCTATCTCTATTATATAAGTCAAGGAAGAATTTGAATATTGTTTACGGAATTTTCATTAAACAATTTTGGACAATTTATTATCTCATAAATTCATACTCCATATAAAAAAAAAATATATAAATAAATAAAACCAATAAACATGGAGAAAAAAATCAATGACAAATAATTGTTAATCAATCAAAAATTTAAATTTAAAATTTAAAACTTTTGGAAACTTTATTATTAAAGATAAAATACAAGTTTATCACCTAGATAAACAAATTTTGTTTATCAATTGACAAAACTGTAAATAAATCAACATTTTTTTTATTAAATATGGGCCATAGTTGTTGATATAATTACGAAGAAGTCATGATGACTGGATTTTTGTTTGATTTATTTACGATAGCTACTTTAAGGTGATAAACTAGAGCTCCTCTTAATTAAAACATTTAATTTAATAGCTTCCTTTCATCTATATCATTTCATTTAAAATTTTCAACATATTTCCTTATTTTGAAACTTAATCAAGTTCTTTATTTTATTACTAAGGTCTTGTTCACTTCACCTTATTTTTACTCAACTGAAATTATTTTGCTAAACTTAAATTATTTTTACTGAAGTGAAATTAATTTAACTGAATTGAAATTATTTTTACTGATTTTTTATTATATTTCTTCTTTATAGTTACCGAATTTTACTGAACTGAACTTATTTTACTGAACTGAAACTATTTTTACTGAACTGAACTTATTTTTACTGAACTGAAATTAATTTTGCTAAATTGAAATTATTTTTACTTAATAATTTTTTTTAAGGAGAAGTGAACATGGCCTAACTTTAGCAATAAAATACATAGGGGATGTTCGTATTATACTACTGTTATAGGTCTTTTAATAATATTCTTAATTTTACAATCAGTTATTGATGATGAAATGTTGGAGACATTCATTGCTTAGGGTACTTTCAAAATACTCACTCCGCTCTTGTTAATGTTATACTCCCTTTGTTTTTTTTTAATGCATCAATTTGATCGGTACATTTGCCAAGACGTAACTTTGACCATTAATATCTTTAATTGTCTATTAGTAAAAATTGTAACAAAATTATATTATGAAAAAAGACATTGTGACGAATCTAATGATATATTATATAATAACATTTTTTGTTTTATAATAGCAAAAAAAAAATAAGTCAAACATGGTATGTGAATAGTGCAAAAGTCAAATTGATGCATTTAAAATAAATGGAGGGTTTTGAGATTTTGCACCATTCGTATGTGACCTTTGGCTTAACTTTTTTTACTAATAAATATAATATATACATACGTTATGTAATATGTTGTTGAATTTGTTACAATGTCCACTTTTATATATTAGTTATTTTTTCATAATTTTCATTAATATTTAAATAAAGATATTAATGGTCAAAGTTTGTGCCTCGGCAAATGTGCAAACCCAAGTATAGCACTTAAAAATAGAGGGAATAATCCCGTCAAATAAAAAATAGAGGGAATAACAATAACTAATTGATACAAGTAATAGGGATAATATTATCCAAACTTATCTTATTAAACTTTTTTTGCAAAAGGATGATTAGTCAATTATCCCTAAATTGCATTTTAAATATAAACTTATGCCATATTCTTGTCAACTAATTGATTATTTAAAGTATTTTGTGCGTGAGGGGTTTTTTTTTTTTTTTTTTTTTTTGTAAAAGCATGAGTTATATCGTAAATTGTCTAACAAATCATATTTTGTGAAAAAAGCCTAACAAATGAGTTAAAATGACATATTAAAAAGTCCACAAATTTTTATATGTGGCTGACCACACGGTGTGGCCGGGGTTATTCGGTCGGTTAGGGGTTATTCAGCCAATGTTTTGGTGTATGTCACATTGCCGCACAGTGTAGTTGATCACACCGAAAAACGTCATTTAAATGATTAATAGATTTATTCATTTAATTATGTGATTTTGACATCAAACAAAATTTTATAGAGTAAGAGCCTGTTCACTTCACCTTAAGAAAATAATACTCAGTAAAAATAATTTCAGTTCAGCAAAAATAAGTTCAGTTCAGTAAAAATAAGTTCAATTCAATAAAAATAATTTCAGTTCAGAAAAAATCAGTAACTTTAAAGAAAAAATATAACAAAAAATTAGTAAAAATAATTTCAGTTCAGCAAAAATAATTTCAGTTCAGTAAAACTAATTTCAGTTCAGTAAAAATAATTTAAGTTCAGCAAAATTAATTTCAGTTCAGTAAAAATAATTTCAGTTCAACACAAAATAAGGTGAAGTGAACGGGTCTAAATTCTTAAAGGTTAATGTTATATGACCAGGTTAGTCAAATAATAATAATAATAATAATAATAATAATAATAATAATAATAATAATCATCATCATCTAATCTAATCTAATCTTATTATTATTATTATTATTATTATTATTATTATTATTATTATTATTATTATTATTATATGCACAACTCATTTGAGTTGCACAAAAAAATTATATATGTAGTTGTAAAAATATGCGTATTCAGTTTAATAAATATGAACATATAGTTGGGTTCCTAATAAATAAATGATGCATACTTATTACTCCATATTTGTAAGAAGCGTGAGAAGTTCAGGTTCATCAAATACATAGTACAGTACAATGAAAATACATTAAATATACTTTGAAAATTCACTACATAAGTATTTTTTTTTTCTATCTATTTGTTACTTATACGAAGTATTAAACATAACACACATATTTCATTAAAAAAAAAAAAAAATACACACATCTTCAACTACCCGTCAAAACACCACACATATTCAACAATCATTCCGTCAAAAAAAAAAAAAAAAAACGATTAATTGAGCTGCCAAAGAAAAAAAAAAAAAAAAAAAAAAAAAAAAGAAAGAAAGAAAACTTCCATTAATGGGATTATCGCAAACCACCTTGCTGGTTTCCTGTTACAGTAAGCAATTACTGCATTTACATCAAGACAATGAAACATGTACACATTAATAATTACTTTTTTTTAATTAGACACGCTTATAATAGGAGTGTATTAAAGTGCCTACGAGTATATTAGATGCATCACACAATGATAGCTGATACATAAAATATATTATAGGTACATTAAACAGTTTGGATCTGAAGTATGAGCCATTTTGTTGGATATGAAACATTTATAGATTTCCGACTATGAAA